TATTGTGTATCTTTTCTGGGGTTTAGTCATTGCATTTTTCTCTGTGACTCATGTAAATTGTAAAAAGAAGTGTACTGATTGATTTTATGAAGTCTGGACTTTGGGATATTTTGAGAAGTCCAAGCAAATTTATGATGTTGAAGGTTTTGGTACATGCATCTCGTAATTTCCACTAGCCAGTAATGTTCTGAGACTAGATCCAAATGAGATGTTTCCTTGGAAAGTTTTGCTTTTACGTGTAGCTTAACACATGTGTTTAGTGAATTATTTGAGGTGGTTTGAGTGTACTTTTCAATCACTTTGACTTATAACTCAGTGGAGGCTGGGAATAAGTTGTGCCCCTCACTGCATTGAGAATATGTGCAGATTTTGTGTATGTGTGCAAGTCAGGACTTATCACCCATCATATCCATGGTGTAAGTGATTGACTGTTGTCCTACAGTTTGAACTGATGCTTTTATAATGCTTTTCGATGACTATGGTTTATTTGAACAGGGTTTCGTGTATATTCGATAGATTCTGATGTACGTCGAATTCATCAGAAGTTATAAAATATGAATGTCTATTGGTCAAGCTTTAGAATTTGTTTTCATATATACCTATATTTATAACCAGTGTGATTAAGACTTGGAGTTTTCACCAATTGATTCCGATGTTGGACTGAGAAATGTATTCCTAGGGTGATCCCGTCTAGTTTTAAGATTTGTTCTAATTCAGAGCCTCATATATATTTTCCCTTTACATGTCAACTCACATGCAAGATGGTATTTATTTTGAGGTCCATACAAGATGTACAGCTACATGTACCAAAGCGCGTAACCCATAAAAAGTCGGTTGCTTAGTTTGACCTCGTAAATGTTTTTATATTAGTAATGTGGCATGGACCACTATACTCTCTATCTTAGTTAGTGAACTGTATGTTCTGAAAGAGGGTCTGGAGGAGAGTCTCTGTAGTCCACCTGAAGAGCTGTCCCCAGGCCTCTCAGCCACCAAGCAACATATATTGTGACTAGCAGACACAGCACAAGTACACTAAGGCATCTGTGGCATTAATTACCGACATCAACCTTGCAAGATCTGCAAGTATTCCTTTGCATTACATTTCTTCTGCTGAACTTTTGCTCTTCACTTTTGCCAACTGGCTACACAACATGACGGACTCCTGTTCTCCCACCTTGGAACCACTCATTGCAACTCATCTCTTCATCTAGAACTTTGGCGCCATTTCTTTTCTTGAGCTCACTTAACAGGATCCTGCATTTTCTGTATATCTCCTATTTTAACTTATGGCCATTTGAATTGGAGTTCTCTGGATTCACTTCATATTTCTCATATCACTTGGCTTGTCTATTACCTCTAATAAAGCAACAATCTCTTTTGTAAATCCTGAATTGTGTGAGGTCAAAAGTTTTTCAAAAGGGAGTTAGATTAATATGAACTTTGGTTCCCGCCATTTTTAAATGTGAAACACAGGTTACAGTGCTATATCTCCTGAAGTGCAGGTCTGATTGGGTTGAAACTTGGCATATTTTTAGACAGAGAAGTGGTATAGGTGAAAATTGACATCATGTGATGATTACGTCATCAGATGATCAAGTTATGTGACATTAAAGGTGCACTCTTCAAAGCATTATATCTCGTGAAGTACATGTCCGATTGGGTTAAAACCAGGCAGATATCTTAGAAGAGGAGAGCTTTAGATGAGCATTGATCTTATATGATGATGATGTCATCTTGTGAGAAGTCATGTGACATTAACCACTTCATGCTGGGGCATTTTCAATGTTGATGATGCTGGGCCGGCATGACTATCATTTTTTCCGTTTTCAAAATCCGTCAAAAATTCATCATTACATTTAATGGTCATTTATAGCCACACAAAGTAATCTTTAGGCACTGCTCTAAGTTGACAAGTGAGCTTGAAGTGAGTATTTCAGCCAGGCCTGCAGCCTTGTAAACAGAGCCCAGATTGTGCAGTGTTGTATAACTGTCTTTTGTTCACGAACCTGGCTCAGTGCACTGCTGACCTCTTTTCAATAGGGGCCAGATTAGCATGCAGCAGTGCTTTGTGGCTCATCGCTGCAGTGGTGGAGTGCTTTTGTCCCCGGTGGTAATCCGCTCGCTCTCATTGCCCCAAGCCCTGGTATACGATTTCAAAACAAGGCTGGATTATCACCACTTTTGAGAGTGAAAAATGTTGGTAATGCCCATCCGCCTGGTCTTTTGTTCAGAGTACAGGGCCCTGTTTCCTTTGATTTCGGAGTCCCCAGCAGGAAGTGGTTAAAGGTGCACTCTTCAAAGCACTATTTCTCGTGAAGTACATATCCGATTGGGTTGAAACCTTGCAGCACGTGAACAGGGAAGACTTCTTTCCTAAGTTTATTAACCTTGGTGTCTTCGACAGTTGTCTGTCTGTTGGGGTGTTTGTTTGTTTGGGTTTTTTTTTAAAACCTCAAAATGTGAAAAAGCCCTGTGTTTTGTCCATTAGACAAATGCACGGAGCTCTAGTCTTTTTTTTTTTTCCGTCAACATCATGGTCTTCTGCTCAAAAGCCCATTTGTTTTGCGCACATTTTTCTTGTACACGACTTCAGTGCTTTTGAACATTGGATCTTCATCAAAGGTGTACCAGTGAAGGATCCTTATGTATTTATGGTCGTAGAAACATGACATCATGATGATGTCATCAAGTGATTTATTATTGATTTTTCAATTTTTTTTCAGCTCATTGATTTTGTACATGTTTTCAAGGGAACATTTTGGTTGTTAAGCAATATTCAAATGTTGCACGCTTGCAATAGCCCATGTTGTGTTCGATGTACATGTAGCTTGGCCCACCGGGAAACATTGTGCTAGCTGGGACTGTGTCTTTTAATTTCTACCTTGAACCGAGACAGTGTTTGCCTGTGGGCCAAACTTCATCGAACACAGCATGGTCTGTTGCAAGTGTGCGATACTGCATGTACTGTGTGCAGTCATGCAATACTCATGTAAACTGTACATGTAGACATTCTCCCAATTACATCGTCAAATCAGCCTCGGAGCGCAATCTGACTGACCATGCACTCTCAGTCTCCCAGCTAAAGCGGGTCCAAGAACAACACATTGTCTTTATGACGTCATACGGTGTCATGCGACACGACATTAAAAGAGCAAACTTTAAAGCCATATATCTCCTGATGAACATGTCCAATTTGGTTGAAACCTTGCGGGTATCTAGAAAGGGAAGTTTTATAGACAAAAATTGAGCTTATGTGATCATGACGTCATCATGTGACAAATCATGTGTCATTTAAGGTGCACTCTTCAAAGCAATATATCCTGTGAAGTACTTTTCCTTTTGGGTTCAAATCCTGCGTTTATCTTGACATTTGAGGGCTTTAGACGAGCATTTACCTGATGTGATAATGACTTCATCATGTAATATTAGTCACCTGACATTAAACGTTCGTTCTTTATAGCCCTGTATCTGGTGAACTACATGTCTGATTGGGTTGAAATTTGGTAGATAGCCAGAATGGGAAGTTTTATAGACAAGGTGACATAATGTAAGGGTGCTAACTTTAATATGTTATATCTCCTTATGTCTGAAAGGGTTTGAATATTTTGTCATAGTGAGGTCACCTAAAATATATTAGTAACTTTGGGAATTATTTGTAGCTCTTGGATAGATGTTTGAGTAAGAAGAGAAATCCAAATGAAGTAGTATCTCAAATGAAGGAATGCCCTTAAGAAAAAACCAAAAATGTGACAAAGTGCTTAGCTTTGTCCTTAAACCTCCAGTTTTCTGTTGAATCTGTTTATGTATTTATTCATTATGTGTATTACTTGTAAATGTTTATACACTGTATACACTAACATGTTTTATTTTATTTGCCAGTGGAACATATCCAGCAAGGTATGAGACGGAGAGAACCCCCCTGCTTTGTGTTGGTCATTGTTTCGCTGGAATCTGGGGAA